GCAATATCTCTGTTACCTTTTTTCATGCTCTTTGACAAGATCATGTTGAAATTCAGAGTTACTCTGATATGCTGAGGGAAAAAAAAGATGATTACCAGAAATTAGAGTTTGTACACCACATATATATTGTTTACAGAATAACAATATATTTAAATCAGAAAACAGTAAACTGTTGCATTTAGATAGCAATAAGTCACTAACATTCTCAGTAATGCTACTTTGAAACGATGTATCGTAGATACGGTACATAACATGAGATAATTGAATTACATCTTTAAAGGAATCCACGATTATATTAGGTGGACTATATTACTAAGTACCAAGTTAAAGCTAGTTAATTGTGCCTATTAAATAAATAAGTTAATTTAGCCAATTTTAAGTCAAATGTAGGGTCAGTGTTTGTAATATATAACAGTGGAAATGTTACTAGTCTATTTTTTTACAACAACCAGCAATAAAATAATTTTGCTAATTGAATGTGAAAATAGATTTTAAGTTTTCAATGTTACAATGTTTTACAATATATTACTGTTTTAACTCCATTTTATATATATTCTTTTAAAAATTAAGTACACACAAATTACAAAAAAAAACTTCTACATAAATTCAATCTAAAGGTATTCATTATTAATCCTTTCAAATGGATGTCATTTTAACATAAAAAAATAATATGTAATTATAAGTATATTTATTACAAACTACTTGAATATGACTAGGAAAAAAAGGGGGAGGGGAGATGTGCATTTCTAAGGTCTTACAACATTTGCACACTTTTTTCCCCACTTTTTGTTGATTAAAATTAAACTTAGTTAAAAAAAACAATTAATGAATTAACATTTCTTTAACGTATGTGGTTACACTTAACTTGCCTTAAACACCCATACAACTTTAAACTCATAAGTAATTTCAATTGTACCTGTTTGTCTTTAAATTTATATCTCCTAACAAAAAGCACCATTTCATGTTCTAAAGGCTGATTGAGTCTTAGTCTCATGGACAGCAGGTCTCAGATCAGTCTTTGCATGAGCCCTACAGCACCAGTGACTAAACATGGAGGATGGGAATCTGATTAGTGATCAGCTGGAGGCAGTGAGGTCTCCCTGGGGTCCTGTTATGAGCTCTCTGTCTGTCCCACACTGCCCCCGCAGGCCAAAGGATCGCAAGTTCATTTTGTCTGGGGTCAAATGTGGAGTCAGTGCTACTGACTTTCTGACATGCAATAGAGAAAATGGTTTTAATGTAACACAATCTAATAATGGGCAAACTAATAATAATAATAATAATAATAATAATAATAATAATAATAATAATAAGTGAAAAACTGCAAATAGTGCAAATACTTTAATAACTATACTTTTATTACGGATGCTTTACAATTATTTAATTGCTATAAATGACAAAAAAAAAACTGAAGCCTGACATTTAGCATTCAGAAAACTGTTTTGTCATGCCAGAAAATCAGTCACACTGAACTCACAAATTAAAATTATTTGTGGTTATTATTGGGTTCAGTGTTACTGATTTTTCTGACATGCAATGGCAAAAATGCTTCAGTTCATTTTTTATGCATCCCAATGTGGCAAAACAAGATGAATGAAAATGCATTCAGAGTGCAGTTTCAGTTTTCTGAATGCTAAATTACAGACTAGTCTGTTTCTAATCATTTATAAAAGCATGGAAAGAGCTGAAGAGCCGTATTCGAAGCTTTCTGAATGCTCTCCAAGTCAAAACACTGACTTACTGTGCGGCACTGCTCCAGGACACCTTTTATTTTCATTGGACTCATAACTGTCAGTAGAAGATTTTATAGCCAGACGATCCTAAATCACTTTGGCTTGTTTTTTGTGTCAACACTGTCTGCCGGGGGGATACCAGGACCTCCTTGCAATGCTACCATGGGGCTAAAAGCCATTTAAAAATCAGCATTTGCATTACTACACAAAAACATTAACAAGCCAATCTCTGATGGATCTTCTTGCTAAGATCTCAGATCTGCTTAAATGCAAAAACAACAAAAAATCTTGAATAATAGAAAAAATCTAATTTATTTATTAAAAAAAACTTAATAACTAACAAAATATTTTTAGCTTAATTTACCACCATAAATTATCAATATTATTATTATTATTATTATTATTATTATTTAGCTAGAACATCACCATGAGACAGTGAGACCTGTTCAAGTTGCACACAAAAATCAGAGAGAACAATACCACAAAGTGGCCCTTCATAAAAATGGTCAGATCAAAAAAAACAATAATATCAACATAGTATCCTTTAAGACTTTGTACAGAAGATATTTAAAAGTTCTTAAGAGTCGGAAGTGTGTCAAGGTTAAGCTGGTTTTGCAGATCATTCCAAGCCATAGGAGCATAAAAGAAAAAAGCACAATTGCCAAGTTCTGACAATACCCTTGGGACTGTAAACAGAATACATGAACCAAATCTAGAGTGGGTGATTTATGTAAACTGTAAGCAAATTAGAAAGATAGGATGGTAGATTGCCTAAGAAAGACTTTAAAGTAAGTACAAATTTAATTTTCTCCTTTGATATAGGGATAACCAACCTAAGAAATGATTTATAGTTTATCATAACTAAGCTAAAATTTTCTAAAAATAATTTTTAAAGAAGCGCAAACGGATAATATTATGTAGTATTATAATAATGTTTCTATGAAGTATTTTGTATTTAATAAATAATAATTATTTTATACAAAGTAGTAATTTATTATAATACATTATATTATTAACTTGTGTCTTTATATATAAATATTTATTAAAGAAATATTGCTGCACAGATAAACACACTCTTTAAAAAAAAAAAAAAACTTTCCCTCTATAACAAGTATTTATTTTGTCCACAAGAGTAAGTGCAAAACATTTTTAAGATGATGTAGCTTAAGTCATAATATTGATAACCATACCAATAGCTATAATACTGCAGCATTTAAAAGTAAAAAAAAAAAAAAACACTGTTTGGTGCTGATGAACTGCAAACTGTTTCTTAAAATAGCCTCTGTATATGACAGGAATGTAGTTTGGCAATAAGTCCACACTCTGCACACTGCTGCTATGATCTTGGAAGAGTCAAACTCATGACTGTATTGAACTCCTCCATGGCCCCCCAGTCAGTCTGTCCAAATCCCTAGGCCCCGGGGCCCCTTTGCTCCAGAGCTCCTCCTTCCCTCGAGATGAGGGATGACTTTGGGAACTCCCAGACAGTTGTTTATGCAGCGAGGACATAACTCATTTCTCAACTAATCAAGAGCAAGATAACAGCTGAATAATAGCTTGAAAATACTGATGATATCGTCTGAGCTGTTTGCTTTAAAAGCTTGTTTGAAATAGGGAAAAAAGAAGGGGGAGAGACAAGGCCTAACCATTGCTTTGCGTTTGCTAAGGCTAAGAAATGCAAACACTCAAAAAGGCTATCAATGACCATTCGACTATGCAATCAATCCAAAGCCGATAAAGAGTTTTCTTTAAAAAAAAAAACTTCAGGTGACTTTTTGAGAAAAGTGTTTAAGGCAGGACACTGCAGGTAAACAGTTTTTTTTTTTTTAAAAAGTAGCTATCACCACACATCCACAGTTAATTGAACAGGTTTTTTAAAATGTTATGTTTAAATATGCAAACAAGACCTTATTATATTATATATGCACTAATTTTCAAATAATTCCAGCTCAAAAATCTAGACAATGGATGAAGTCTGGTTCAAAAATTGTTTCTTCGTGTTTCTCTTTTGGCACATTACAGTAGAGTAAAAGTGCTTTTCTTACTGAGGGAATTTGGGAAATCTCTTTTCATCACCCTATAATTTGAAAACACAAATAAAATTGTGAAGTAGTGTAAGTATGTAGCTGATAGAGTTTTGTGGATCAACGCAGAATAAAGAAAATCTTTTTGAAAATAAAAAAGAAGGCAAAAAACATTAATAAAATGCCATTGCTATTCAAATCTACAGACATAAATTGAGAAAGTGCTATAAAAAAAAGACGTATTATTAATTAAAGTGTATTTTAATGTTTTCATACTTTTACACAACAAAATAACAAAACACTTAACAATAAGACAGAGTGTAAAGTTTCAAAATTAAGAGTTGAAAATACAACTTGTTTTTGTCTAAGATTTTAAAAGTCCCATTAAAATGCATACTGTACATGTATTCCCAACGGAAGTACTTAAATAGCAGCCTCCCAACCATCAAGTCAATTCCTGCATTGCTGTTACTTGATAAAGAATTAGCAAGCAGCGGTGAAAATGAACGAAGCATACATAAGAGACAAACAGTATGTAGATTATTGGGTAGTGGGATTAAATAGTATCAGTGAAAAAGTTCACTGTGTTGATAGCAGCCAATCACATTTCACTGCACATTAGTAAGCAAGATATTTATAAAACACAGGACAGCTGGACTCACATCTCAGGAATGTGACAGATTAAATAACATTGCAGGTTTGAGTATATCAAAATTATCTTTTTTAATAATAGTAATTCATTTTAATAATAGTAATAATAACTACAACTAAAATTATCATTATCAAATTTATTATTTGGTGCTTTTCCATTCACTGGTATGATGCCATTGCAGGGATTTAAGATGATTTATGCAAAAGAATGTTATTAATTAATTTTTACTGAAACTTGTTTATATATTGCAGTATACTTTAATCACTTTAATAGTTATTATTATTATTATTATATCAATAATAATAGTAATAATACAAAACAACAACAACAATAATATTTTTGACTTATGTCGCTTACAAGAAGAAATTATTGACACCAATATTGTTATGATGAGGATGATAATCATTACTACTATTAAAATATTTTAAATGATATTTACAAAACTACAGCAAATTTAAGAATATCAACAACTTGGAATAAAATGGAATTCCAGGTTAGGTCTTTTTAGAAATTGGATTACTCGTAACTGAGGAAAAACTAAAAACAGCTTACTTATACTTTCAAAACAAACACATGCACAATTAATCTCACCTCTGCCAGGATGCTGTTAAAGGTATTAGTGGTGGTTATGGCTCCATTAGCATTCCTGCTACCATCTCCAGCCTCTGGCACGCTGCCCTTCAGAGATTAAAAGGGATTTAAGAAAGAGGTTGTTATTAATGAGAACCATTACTTCTGTCTACTTCAACCCACAACCCCTGTCATTAAAAGAAACTTAGAGCCACATGAAACTTGTGGTATAGAGATAAAACATTGAATTATTTGGACATTATGCAAGTGTACGAGAATTTATAGCAAAAAAACTACAGCAACGGTTTCTATTTCAGTCTTGCATTGAGTCCAAAAGTAATGATCCATGTTCAACAAAACAACCTGAAGCATATATAAACCCCTTTACTGTTTTATTTCACTTTCAATTCTGCAGCACTCTTTACAAATGCTGTAAAGGCATTAAGATCTTGATTTGCTCATTTACACTGAGCTTCAATTAGACATACATACTGTATGATCTGATCTTAGAGCTTTAAGGAGTCGTACTACAGGCAAAATCAGTTTTTCATGCACCTGTCAATTTTGACATTTTGGGGCTTCTCGGTTTCTCAATAACTGTTTTTATAATGTAAACAAAACATCCACAAAACAATTTGAAGAGTTTCCTTTTCACAATTAATCAGTGTCTCATGATTTAAATTAGAATTCACTATCTTTCTTTTTTATATATATATATATATTTTTTTTTTTTCTCAATGTTTTTTTTCCAGCATTGAAAAATAAATTTCCATTCTAGCAGTGCTTGTATATACCACATATCAGTTTTATTGGAATTTGTTTTTTGAAGGTTTTTACAGAGCGATACATTCACACATATTTGCCTGATTATATGCAACATTTTTTTAAAAGTTTACATTTTCTGAATTATTGATAAAAAGATATACATGAAATTGCCTCAGAATTATTGCTGACATGCTATTACTCACAATATGACTACTTTTTGTGCTAGAAATGTATGCCAATTAGAGTATATTTAATGAAATAATGCATATGTGACCCTGGACCACATAACCTTATGAGAGTCAGTTTTTGGAGGTCGAGATTTATACATCACCTGTATAAATACAGTATGCTTTCCCTTAACGTATGGTTGGGACAACATCTGAACAAGATAAAACTAAAGAAAATCTGTAATATGATCGCATATAAATGTCCAGATAAAAAGATGACATGCAATTACATGCAATATGACAACTTTTTGTGCTAGAAATGTATGCAAATAAGAGTATATTTAATAAAATAATGCATTTGTGACCCTGGACCACATAACCTCTTATGAGCCAGTTTATAGAACTTGAGATTTATGCAGAATAAATACAGTAAGCTGTCCCTTGATGCATGGTTAGGACATCATTTGGACAAGACGCAACTACTGAAAAGCTGAAATCTGATTGCCTTTATATCTGTATAAATCAAATGTTTAGCAATGCACAGTACTAATCAAAATATTAGTTTTGCTATATTTAAAAGTAGGAAATTTATTAAATGTCTTTATAGAACATGATATTAACTTTATGTATTTTTTATTTAAAATACAGATCAATAATTTTGACTAATATAAGATATTTAGCTTATATAACTATGCAATGTAAAACTTGGTTTGTGGTCAAAGGTCACATATCTTTAATAATTACAAAAATATTATAAAAACAATATTATATGAATGTAATCAATGAACTAGTGAATTATGCTCATAACAATAAGTTAGTTTTACCCTGTTTACCTACAGTGTCTTGCCATGCTAATCACCAGTCCTATTTCTTCTCTTAAAGGCAGAAACAAATACGACTGGACTGCAGCGGTGACACAACCCATCATCAGTTATAATTAATGTGAAGTTAAGACGAGGTGAGATGTTCTGGTATACATTGCCTGTAATTAGTCTTGGTGGCTTCAGTATTATCAGCAACATACTTGAGATAAGGCATGCTAACAGTGGGGTATTATATCCAAAGATTAGCACAGGCTTACCCTGCTCTGGCTTTCTGTGACCCACAGTCTCCATCCTCTCACCCCGGTGGTCAAGTGGGGCTCCTTGATGTTTGTTGTCATTTTACAACTTCCTAACAAGACAAGTCAAACAGTCTCTGAGTGTCATTTAATGCCAGTAAAACGGTCACTACGGCTTAAGAGCTTTGATAATAACAGAAACACGTTAACGTTCATTTAACCACAACGGTGCAGGTTCAAACATTTAAAAACAACGGACAAATAATAAAAAAAATATGAAGTATTAGAGATTACCTCAGAGAAATCAGACAATACTAAATCTCTCTGTTCGGATATTTGTGAATTAAACTTGATAATAACCCAAAATAACTCGAAATTTAATCATTTAAAACAAACACTCAGCAGTGAAACGGTTAAAGTAAAAACAAGCAGTGGCTCCGATTGTGGTCTTGTTTGCTGCAGTGCGCCCTACTGGTCACTCGAGAGAACTGCATCGCTCTAAAATACATCTGTTTCTATTGCTCCTCACAGGTTGGCTACAGCGTCAGAGGTGGACCAATAAGGAATATGAATAGTGCGAGCGATGAATTAACAGGAAAGGAGCAACTATCTGGAAAAGTTCCATTTGGCGAACGACTGGAGTATTCATTAATGATTCGAGTAAGAAATCATCTGTATTTATGGAAGTGCAAAGAGAATCAAAACAAATATGAGAGGGAAAGATTTGCATGAGAAGTCCTCATTAGACATCAAGATTCTTCATATTTAACAAGAACACATTCATTTAGCTTAGAAATGAATGATCAGGCATTATGAGCAACCTAATACATCAAACGTTACAAAGATTGTGTGTATACAAACAAAACATTGTTAATTTTATATTATGTCATAATATTATGTTATTATTATTATATAGTTAACTAGCTACAGATAACAAAAACTATAATGTATAAATGGATTAATTAAATAACTGGTTTGAAGTAGGCTATCTGAACAACTTATATCCCACAAATCCAAGTTAGTATTAGAGAATCTAGCTTGAAAGAACCCATTTTATTGTCATGCATAAAAAACAGACGCCTGTCTAGAACTAAAACTTCACACAAAGATCACATTTGTAAAAAAGCATTTTAATTTACATTTTAAAAGCATTTGCCATTTTCTTAATGATGCTGGACATTCTTGATGCGAGTAATTTAGCATATCAATACATAATTTTCCTCAAGAAAAACATTTTAAGGTTTAATAGTTGGAAAACAGTTGCAGGTCTAGGCTGGTTAGTGTGTATGTGTCCTCACTGTATATATATTTAGAAATTACTAATGGGATTATTATTGCCCTCCTTGAACAGACCGTGACCTTTTTGCATCTAAAAAAATGTAGTCTCTTTATGGCTCATTTATAAAACGTTGGTTTTAGCTAGAAAGTATAAAATATGTGTCTGCATGTTTGTGTAAGGTTTAGAGTTTGATGACTCATGCCTGGAGAATTGGGCGGAGCTCGAGTCTTCCAAAGATTTGATTGGCAGCTGAATCATACCTCTTTTTTCCCCTCCTTTTGCTGTGTCACTCCTTTATTTGCTCCTCTGTCCCTCCCTTCTTCATCCTCAAAGTGCTGGTATAAAATGCTATACAAATTTGAAAGAATAATAATTAAAATATTAAACAAAGAAAAGCAAAAGGAGCAAATTTATACACTGTAAAAACAGTTGGGTCAATTCACACTATTAGCAAACTATTAACAACACATTAAGCTCAATAAACTACTAATTAATAATAGTTAGTAAGGTATTTGGGTTTAGGTATAGGGATGTAAAATAAAATCATGCTTTAAGTGCTTGTACATTAACAATAGCCAGGTAATAAGCCAGTAGCAAATGTGTGAATTGTTAATTAAACTAAAGTGTCAGCAATTGTTGCTTTATATTATCAAATTAAGTAATTTTACTTAATATTTAAAGAACAGCTTGTATAACTTGAAGTTATGTGATTAACTTAGTTATGACTAACAGAAAAAAGTAATCCTTTATGATACAGTTTAAATTATAAAAAGTAATTTTTTTAACACTGCAGATACTTTTAATTACTTTGCTCTTGTATGTAAACATTAACAAGTGTATAAATAAGTTGAAATGACATTATACACAAAATATTTTAGGTCTGACTGAAAATTCATGACCATAACAGCACATTGTATATGCTTTACACAAAGTGATTCAGATATATGAGACCGAGACATGTGGCAGCTGACAGAGATGAATGATTATGAACATGTTTGAGAGTGAATTGGCTTGTACCTTGACTCCAAGTTGAACTTTATCAAGTAAACATTCAATAAAGCTCCTAATCCATTGTTCAAACTCATGCACTGCATGCAGATTAATTTTTATCGGCACAATCAACAAAAATCTGTTTTCAAAACAAATAGTGATTTTTTTTTTTTTTTGATTTTAGGTTTAAATAAACGAACAAGCACATAAAAACTAAAAATGTACTAATTAAAATGCTGCATATGGCTTTTGCTGAAGAAAAAGATAGAGCAGTTACTAAATACGTTGTTAATAAAAACAAAGATAACTAAACTAAATAAAAACAAACAAAATACACAAACAAAAAATATTAAAATAATAGTGTACATTATCATGAATTACAGCAGAAATATAATAAATTATTCAGTGAACATTGTTTTAATACCAAAACATTTCCAGGCATAGTAAATAAATAATAAATAAACAACTAAATAAACACAAGCATGCATAACTTTTTGGAAATAAATTACAACTTTTTAAACATTTTACTTTATCATAAAATATTCAGATTAAATAGTTTTAATACCAAAACAAATTGTCAGGCATATTTAAAATACTCCTTACTAGTATCGGGTTGGACCCCCCTTTGACTTCAGAACTGCCTTAATCCTTCGTGGGCATAGATTTAACAAGGTACTGGAAATATTCCTCAGAAATTTTGGTCCATATTGACCTGGTAGCATCACGCAGCTGCTGCAGATTTGTCAGCTGCACAGCCATGATCCCAATCTCCCGTTCCACCACATGCCAAAGGGACTCTTTTGAAATTAGATCTGATGACTGTCAGAGTACAGTACTCTGTACAGTGTACAGGCCATTTGAGTACAGTGAACTCATTGTCATGTTTAAGAAACCAGTTTGAGATGATCCGCGCTTTATGACATGGTGTGTTATCCTGACCTTTTCCTGCACACCTCAGTTGTAACGAGTGGTTATATAAGTTACTGTTGCCTTTCTGTTAGCTCGAAGCATTCTGGCCATTCTACTCAGACCTCTGGCATCAATAAGATATTTGTGCCCACAGAACTGCCGCTCAACAGATTTTTTTTTCTTCGGGTCATTCTCTTCAAACCCTTGAAATGGTTATGCATGAAAATCCTAGTAGATCAGCAGTTTCTGAAATACTAAGTCCAACCCGTCTGGCACCAACAACCATGCCAAGTTCAAAGTCACTTAAATCACCTTTCTTCTCTATTCAGTTTGAACTGCAGCAGATCATACTGACCATGTCTACGGACCTAAATGCATTGACTTGCTGCCATGTGATTAGTAGATATTTGCATTAACGAGGAGTTGGACAGGTGTACCTAAAAAATTGGCCAGTGACTATACTTCACAAATAGGGTTTACACTACTAGGTTTTACCCATTTGCCAACAAGACATTATCAGCCATTTAAAACATCATAATATATCATTTGAATATATTATCTAGTAGACTTATAAGTACAAGTCAGAATAGCTATTTGTCACTTGAATTTAATAAGCTTTCTATGCATATAAAATTGATTTTGTACATTCAATTAGTTGCAGAGACAAAGTTGTCTGTGACTTAAATAAGAGGTTGTCCTTTGGTTCCACAAAACGCACACACACATACAAAGTTGTACAGACAGTAGTATCTGTCTGCAGTAGGTTAGTGGGCCATGAAAGGGTTTCACTGTCCAGCCAATATTTTTTTTCCAACAACAGTGGGCCGTCCTCCTCCTCTTTCCCTTTTTCCATAATCCAAGGTTATGAATAGTGAATAATTTCACTCACTTGGAAAAAATCAAAATGATAAAGAGTCTGCAGATAAACTGAAGCATTCACTGATTCCGCAGCCTCTCTCCTCCCTTTTCGCCATCCTCCACACCGCACAGATGCATTTAAATGCACCAGACTTGCAGTTTAGACACATTTCTAGCACTCCAACAGGTTGGCATTTTCTGTAAAAACATGGCGGTCATTCCCGGTGGATTTCACTCTGAATGAATCCATTTAGGGTTCGACCAATAGGAATGCTTTTACAGGTTGCTCATGCCTTCATGTGGACCGGAAGCATCGATGACCCGGACGATTCATTTTAATTGCATCGCTAATGCTGTTTATAACGTGGCTGAGTGGTGTGAAAAAAGCCCTTGAGATGCTAACAGGAGCGCTGAAAAGGCCGTGTCAGAACCTCAGAGGAATAAATTCGATGTGCTAACTCGCTTATGTGTTAGGAAACGCTTTCGCAAAAATATTGGTGTGAAAGAGAGAGGGTAATCTTTTAGAAACGCTTGCCTCAAAGGAAAACTGATGAGGCGGCCATTCTCACCCCAGTCAATTAAATACAATCCTGGCGTCACTCACACTTTCTGGGCTGATATTTGATGGAAGTAAAAATGTAGGTTTGTGTTAAGTGTAAGCAGAATTTATGATAGAATGTATTAGGAGTCATTTTGGACTTTTATGCTTGAATACAGGACAGTGAACCTTAAAGTGACAAGTCAGAAATTGCCAAATTGCCATTTAACAGTGTTTCTCTGTCAAAAAAGACTGATGTGACCAATCAAATTAAAGTGGGTGAGGTTTACTGTAAACCGAAACAGAGAAAATTCCAGTGTGAAATGTCAGCTTAATGCTGAAACAGTTTTAAAAAAAACTTAAGTAGCAAAAGGTTTTATTTTTCACAAGATTATTTTTTTTTCTCCTGTAGATAGGCACTATACCCATAAACAAAGAGTTCAATTGTTTACAAACTGCATATTATATCCCCTTACCCCAAAACAAACATATTTTAACCACTATTTTATAGTACAAAGAACATTTTGATAATCTAAAGAACACTTTTGTTTGGGTGATAAAGCATTTGGGTTTGGGTGATAAAGGTTCTTTAAGAAACAATATACCAAAAAGCTTTTTACTTGCAATACAAAGTATCAATCAAATAACAGAAGGCATGTAGTAGATTATGTTGAACAGGTTTTGTAACTTGCATATCAAATAAAGTAGGCATTAAAGCACTAAATTTGTATCTACAACATCTAAATCTGAAAAAGAAAAAAACAGAATATAAATAAACAAATTTGTTATAATAATAATAATAATAATATCAATAATAATAATAGTAATAGTAATAATAAATGAATTATTAAAAACTGAGTACAATTCGTTTAAAACGCAGATTGTCACTGTTTATTTTAGACACAAACACACACATCAAAAAACTTCAAATCGTTTCCTATGAAAAACTGATTCAACATTACACTCGTATTCAGCCAGCAGACAGATGAAACCGGCCACACTTTTCCCACACATTCTGAAACAATAATCCCACCATTATCACAAAGTCTCTCACGTTTTTAAAAAAGGGTGGTGCGTCGTGCAAACCTGTTTCAAAATGAGCATTTTAGTGTTTCACCATTTTCCCTAAGTCTTTCGAAGTCAGAAGACAAATGCATAAGGTTGTTGTTATGACTGAGTAATTGCTCTGGCGGTGAAGGGAATGAGCCAAGATGGATGGCTGAGGGATTAGATCCTCACAGCATTCGCACTGTGTATCTGTTCATGCATCTCAGCCCACCATCTATGTGTTTGAACTAATGTTTTGTATTTGTACTCTGCGAGACGTGAAGTCCCTCACGTGCACACAGACACCAGACTAAACCAGCAAGACTTTCAGGTAGTTTTCACACAATGTGTCTGTAGGTCAGTTCCTCAAAATCAAGTGTGCAGTTTCTATACTTCAGATAACACAAAGAAAACAAACAAACAAAAAAATCAGCACAATGACAGATGGGTTTCCTGAAAACTCCACCTCTCTACTTTTGTCCCTGACATCTTTTCAGATGACTCAAACAGAGGAATGTTTTAAAAATGTCACAGAACCACATATGTACAGTATTTTAATGAAATCCACATAGTGGTGTGAAAATATGTTTGCTTCCTTACTCATTTCTTTGCATGTTTGTCAAACTCTAATGTTTCAGATCATCAAACAAATTTAAATAAGTCAAAGATAACACAAGTAAACATTATATTAAGGACAAACAAAACAACAGGAATGTGTGATTTTTTTATAAAAAATTATTTAAATTATTAATTGGTCATTTTACAGTAAGGTTCCTGTGGTTAACGGTTGTGTATGTATTTTCTAACATAAAGCAAGCATGTACAGCATTTTGTAATGATAGGTAATGTAAATTTCAACATTAATGCACAATAACTAACTAACAACAACAATTACCATCAATAACAATTATTTTCCATCAACTAATGTTAAAGATATGTTTCCTTTTTTGTTCATTTATGTTAACAATTTACTAACATTAACTAATGGAACCTAAAATGTTA